TCCTCACCTCCAGCCCTCACTCTGACAACTCAGTGTCCCCTGTAAGTCCCTGGTGCTCCCTGAGCAGCATACCCAGTGCTGGTGTTCAGAGTGAGCAGGTCTGTCACTGCAAATGTCCACTCGAGGACATGGCCCCTTTAAGAGGAGTCTGCAGCTGCCGGCCTCTGTCCCACTCAGCCACTCGGGACTGGGCAGCCTCGCATCTTCACCTCCTCCTACCCTCTACCATTGCAGGCTGATTAATTATTTCTGTCCCTAGTTGTAGTGCTTCCTTTCATCTATATCCCAGGTGACTTTCCTTGCTCTTGGCTCCTTGTTTCTGTCACAACTTTGATTTGGTCATGAGAGGGATGAACAAAGCCTCTATCATCTATGCCATTTTTTTTTTCTCTTGAAGTAAAAATTTTCAAATCTAGCACTGCATGGAATTGAGAGGAACAAGGTCTTCCCAGCCAACTCTTTATTACCATAGATACCTTGCCCATAAACACAATAACAACACACTCTCAGAATAGGGATGGTATTCCAGTGAGACTTCAGAAATTGAAAATTTGAAATTGTGCTTCAGCTTTCTGTTTTGTAAATTTACATGAAAAACTAAACACAGATCACAGCTGGTAATACAGCTTTCTTTATGAATAAAAAAGACACCATACCTTCATTTTATGAGGTGTCTTCACAATATTGGCACAATCAACCAGTCGACACACAAATGCTTAATATGTGCCTACTATATGCAGTATATTTTGAGTGAGGATTTTAAGACATAGCCGCCTGTCCTTTGAGGTTATTACAGTTTAGGTAAAAGACACAAATATCCATAGAAAGTTGATAATGCAAAGCAATAGCAACATAGAATTAACAATTTATCATTTCGAAGAAAAGGGCCTAGAGCATCTGAACTCCTAAGGATCTTTCCAGGTTTGTGATATGCCCATGGGTTCAGCACTAAATGAATGATATAGACCAGCATGTCAAACTTCAAGGCACAAAGAATGTCCTTGTTAAAACAAAAATTCAGATTCAGTGAGTCTGGGTGGGGACCAAGATCCTGGATTTTTTACAGGTTCCCGGGTTATGGCAATGCTGGTGGGTGGGGACCACACTCTTTGTTGCAAGGAGATAGAAAACATTTTCACCAAATTCCCAGTTGCCACCCCAGACTTACTGAATCTGATTTAAAGGGAATGGGGCTCAAGAATGATGTTTTAAGAGACTCTCTGGGTAATTTTTATGCATTTTAAAGATTGAGAAGCACTGGTACAGACATTAAGTGCTACGGGCCAGATGTGCTGGATTCAGGACACATATCTTTTCCCCAGCAGTTATCCCCAGGGGGACATTAGGCCTCAGTCTTTTCAGGGATTGTCAACTTAGTATCAAGTGGCCTGGTTTGACTTCTCCAACATTAGCAGATCGAAGGCTGACCGGAGCCCCAGCTAGAGACCGACACACCCTTACATGTTGTTAGACACAGACTGGATCAGACCAGAGAATAGTGGCCAGAAAGGAGCTGTGATAGCCAGACTGATGACTATTCTTATTATAATACTCACAGGGAGCAGAGACCATAATAGATTTAGCAGTCGTGGACATCCTAATGCCAGAGACTCTCCCTTCCTAAAAGGGAACTATAATCATCCAATATATTTCCCCATCCTCTGGCCTGAGATTAAGCTGTCCTGGGCTCCCAGACACTACTCCAGGAGCCCCAGATGGTACTGGCTAATGTACTCCAACCATGCCATTATGAACACATGCAGACCACATGAGGGCAACTAGTTTCTGGAGACTGAATGCATGACACTACCCCCATCCCCAAGGTCCCTAAGACACTGGGAGGAAGAGTTGTAAGTGGGACGTTGGGTGCTGAGAGATCTTGGGAAAATGAGGACCCATGCCAAACCCATAGAGAGAGGGAGCTAGGCAGACATCAGGGAATCTAACAATGAGAAGAAAACACACTCAAGTTCTGGCATTTTCTCTCTCTTAATTTCAACACTATTTGACTGTATAATTTAGGAAGCATCTTTTGGGAATTAGGGTAGACCATTAACTTTTCATCCAGCAGAGCATTAGAACGATGATTTTATTTATTTATTTTGCAATGATATAATGACTTTGTCTAGCTAGAAAAGTAAAAAAAAGTCAAATGCTAACTTGGAATCAACAGACTCCTTGGATAATTAATTTTCTTTGATCTAATTGATTCCACAACTCTAAGAAGCTCATTAATCAGGACTTGTCACTGCCTCTGACTTTGGAGGTAGAGTCTACCAGAATTCAGTTCTATAATATTAACAAGAAACGAATCTAGACAAGGCCAGAATTATGCTGATGCCTAGGATTAAAGAGAGGAACTTTCCATTGTCCCCAGATGTCAACACAAACAAAACAAACAAACAAGAAAACAAAAACAAGCAAACACAGAAGGATCAGGAGAGGCTGTAGCCCCAGACAACCCTTCTACCATCATGACCAGCCCAGGAAGAAAGGTGAAGGAGAGGGCAGTTTCTGCACCAGTCCAGAAGTCTGATATTAAATTGAAAAAGCAGGAAGGAATTGAGGTCTCAGGAAGGAGCCCCTGGGCCTCTTGGATGAGAAGGGACCAGGTTGAATTGTGGCTCTGGAAGCCCCTGTGTCCACACTCTGATTCTATCACTTATTAGCCGTGTGATCACCTCTCTGAGACTTAGTTTACTGAATTTTGAATGAGTATCTACAAACCACCATGACCATCCCAGGCAGAAATGTAACAGTGGGGAGGTGTCTGCTCAGGTCCAGAAGTTTCATTTCAAATTGAGAAAACAGAAAGGAGCAGAGGCTTCAGGAAGGAGCCCCGGGGCCACTTCACCAGGTGGTAAGAGGTCAGTTTGGGGCGACTTCAAACAGCTGTGGGTCTGTATCTGACTCTGTCACTTATTAGCTGTGTGATCACCTCTCTGAGACTTAGTTTACTTAATTTTGAATGAGTATCCATGGACCCTCACGACCATCCCAGGCAGAAACATGACCGGGGATAGTTGTCTGCTCTAGTCCAGAAGTTTCTTTTCAAATTGAGAAACAAGAAGGAGCAGAGGCCTCAGGAAGGAGCCCCGGGGCCTCTTGGATGAACTGGGACTATGTCTAATTGTGGCTCTGGGATCCCCTGTGTCCACACTCCGGGAAGGCGGATGTGCTTGGAACGGCCTGCCTTCCCCAAAGACCTGGGGGCAACACAGCCTTACGTTCTACAAAACGTATATATATGGGAGCTCGGGCTTAAAACACTCTATTCACGTGCATTCTGAGCAAAAATTGCAGACTTCTGAGAAATTTCTCACTTGCGGCAAATGCACAGGCTTTCCAGGCTCTGGGGCTTTGTAGGGAATGTTCAGTCTTCTGCAGGTAGTTGGGTACAGTCGTTTGACAAGCACTCAGGGTCCCATTGATCTCCTTGGGGTGGCTCCAAATTCGTGAGCATCTTTCCTCAGCCCCGGAGGAGGATTGGGCAGCGTGAAGCATCAGAAGCTGCTGTCCCCACTGTCCTGACCTTTTTCTGGGGGTCAGGGTGCATATTTGCCCTTGGGGTCCCTCAGCTTCTGACTGCAGAGCAGGGGTGGAGGAGGGAGATGTGAGAATTGAGGTGGGGGGCTGTCGTTGGCACCTGTGTATATTTCTGGGCATGTCTGTGTTGAGGGACAGGTTGGGGTTCAGACTTAAGGAAAACTCCCATACCCTAAAGCAGGGGGAACTGTGGGGTGGTAGTGAGCAGCCTGTGGGGTCAGCATAGAGATTCTGCACAGGAAGTCTCTGGCTGTATGGTGGAGAGGGGTTTCTCACAGCATGGTCTGCTGCCTGGGGGGACCCTGAAGCTGCTGTTGGTGACATCTGGGCTGGCCGGGTGCTGACTCCTGCATTCCGACCTGAGACTTCTGGGTTCTGAGATGGGGTGTCTGGGGTCTTGGTTCAAGGACAGGGCCTCTGGGTACTAAGCAGCAGCTAGGACAGAGTATGGGACGGTGGGGGCACAGCCAGGGTCACAGGCCTCTTGGATGAGAAGGGACCAGGTTGAATTGTGGCTCTGGAAGCCCCTGTGTCTACACTCTGATTCTGTCACTTATTAGCCGTGTGATCAACTCTCTGAGATTTAGTTTACTTAATTTTGAATGAATATCCACAGACCACAAAGACCATCCCAGGCAGAAAGGTGGAGTTGAGTACGTGTCTGCTCTAGTCCAGAAGTTTCTTTTCAAATTTGAGAAACAGGAAGGAGCAGAGGCCTCAGGAAGGAGCTCCGGGGCCTCTTGGATGAGCTGGGACTATGGCTAATTGTGGCTCTGGGACTCCCTGTGTCCACACTCCGGGTAGGTGGATGTGCTTGGAAGGGCCTGCCTTCCCTAAAGACCTGAAAGCAACAGAGCTTTTTTTCCTAAAAAATCTCCAATTTGTATATGTGCATATATATATATAAGAATATATATGCATATATATTTATATATGGTACCTCTGGCTTTCAGCACTCAGTTCACGTCCATTTTGACTCCAAAGTGCAGACTTTTGAGAAATGGCTCACTTTCGGCAAATACACAGGCTTTTCAGGCCACGGGGGTTTCTGGGACTTGTTT